TCAGTTTATTAGTAATAAAAGTTGGATGTGTTCTATAATTTGTTGTCACCGGACATGTCGAACAAGTTACCGAACAAAATCCAATGTATATGAACTAGGTATTTTGTTAATATGTTCGGATAAAACTCTATATACATGATATAAATTATTGCCGTTCTTGAAAAAGTAGATGATTAATATTTTACATGTAATAATTATCATGTAACACCATACGTATTAATTATTTGTGTTATCGTGATGATGTAGTTAGTGACACATCTTTGCAAAATTGTAAAAAGTTTGTAACTTTCCCCAAATGCGCGCATTTAATGAACCATCAGATCTGCTTTATAAAAAAAATATACAATAGTTTTTTTCCTCGAGATATTTCTGTTCTGATAATTCTTTGTAGTAAAACAAGTCGATTAGAGTAAATTTTTTATTAAACAATCAATGTTTCATCATACAATCGTACATCAGCTTATATACATGTGTATGTTCGCGTGCATAGAGTTTTATCCCGGGACATGTTTGGTGATAACAGTCATACGTATTATTAAAATATGAGGGATATCGATTTGAGTTCATTTTTCCCCATGAGTCCCATGAGTGAAACTATATTTTTCGGATAAAGGTTTACCTTCCTAATTAGGTTTAGTGGAACATGTATGCTCAGTCTCTATTTGGAGGGGATTGGCTGTTGGAATTGACTTAGTATCTCTTGGAGATTTAATTGCTCCTCTTGAATCATTTAATTTTGAAGACTAACGTTAACATGTCATGTTCGGACAAAACTATCAATAATTATCGCCATCGTTATGTAACACCATACGTAAATCATTGCTGTTAGACATGATTTCCAAGAAACGCCACCATTTCTTTTTAATGAGGCGTAAAGGCAAAATTTGTAGCAAAAAACTCACATAGTCGTTGACGCCTCCACATTTAAACAATAGTTTTTTCCAATAAACTAAAAATGATCTAGTATTTTCTTTCTTATATTATCTGTGATCATGGTTAAGAAAGTCAACTTATGTAATAATAAATTCATAATTAATTCATATCAACTATGCTATCGATATTATTGAGTTGATGGTGCGAATTTTTCAAATTTTTTCGTCTCGTTAGTCTTTCAGTAATCGCAGCGGCGTCAGCTGGGAAAAAAAATGATATAATTCAAAAATAACGATATCCCAAAAAATTTAACTCTCTTAACAGAACAATTCAAACTAACAATACTCTCAAACATTTTCTCTCAACACAATCAAAGTAACCATTTTCTCATAACACAAAAAAACACTTGATTACAAAAAGCATGGAAGCAATCACCAACCGTCAGGTCGTAGTAAGCTTATTCGGCGGCCTTTCTCCGCTATGTATACTATTTAACTCGAGTACACCAGTTACCGTCAGAGACTTAAAAATTGTTATCGCGTCGCGTATTTTCATTCCAATTGAGAATCAACGTCTCGCAACTAGTAGCGGGAAAACGTTACATGATGAGACGCCGCTCTTTCAAAAGGAAGACAAATTCCTTATTGTTAATTTAAGGCTTGGAATCTTAGGCGGTAAAGAAGGGGTTGAAAGTATGTTGAGAACGCATAAAGAAAAAATGGCGAGTCAAAAAACTAAAAAGTAAGTGAGAGTATTTTCATTCTGTACACATGCTTAATCGAATCATTCAAACGGGTTTTAATGGGTGGTTCACAAGCATCTTTCTCAAAATTCTTAAAGAAGATTAAGGAAGATTTTCGTGAACCGCCACTAAAAAACCCCGTTTGAAGAAGGTCTTCGTGAATCACTCACTGAAAACTCTGTTTGGATAATCCTAGTTTCCTCGATAATGATGTTCAGAAAGATATTCGTGAATCATACATTAAAAAACCCTCGTTTGAGGAAGGTCTTCGTGAACCACTTACTGAAAAACTCCGTTTGGGCAATCCTAGCTTCGATAAGAATGTTCAAGAAGATATTTGTGAACCACCCACCAAAAAATCTCGCTTTCTTGATGAAAATCCAACCATTTCTGAGGACGTAAGAGCACCTATGAATTTAGGTATGTAATAGTTCATTTACGTTACATCCCTTTCATTTATTCTTAAATTAGCTTATTTTTTTTCGTTTAGCTATGCAAACAAAGAAGACCGATGGAACTTCTCTTTCAATGTGGTGGAAAATGAAAAGTTCGGATGACGAAACAACTGGTTCTGCACCTGAATACGACAATGATGTTGAAATGACCGACTCTGCATCGGACGATGATGTTGAAATGATTGACGACGATGATGAATTAGAGATCGTTACTACAAATATCACCAATGTTCGTGCAAGATGCAGTGTCGTCAAGCCTATCGAAAGTGCTTTATCAATAATACCAAAACGAGCTCACGATTATTCAAGGATCATAACCACACATGCCGAAACCACTTATACAAAGTCTGTCAAGGGAAAGGGCGTCGCAACTAACAAGAGAAAACGCGACTGAATGACTCTTGGACATTCCAAAGTACATGTATATGCATAGGTTAAAACATTCTTCTATAGCGTGTGCATCAATCTTTAACAAAATACACTTTATAGTGCATCAAAAAATACTAGTAAACAGATTTTCAAATCAACTTCACTTTACAATATGTAGTCACCAATATACTATTAAATAGCTATCATTTCTTAATAAATAATATAAAATCAATTCACTACAGTAATGAAAGAGCCCTCGCTCTATATGCCACCTTTATCAATGTCGAGTTACTGCTTCAATTTATTAATCGCTAGTATACGTATCGGCATGTATGATCATAATTGTTTATTAAATCATAATTAAAATTAAGTTGCTATGTATTGCTGGATTCCATCTTTGAGTTCACTTTTAATTGTTGTGTAGCGTATCAGTAGGCTATTATAAAATAATATTCTGATATATCAGGCAAAGCTAATGTGCATGATATTGACGGGGAAAAGGAAGATGAAGTGGGATAATGGAGCAGATAAAGCTAGTGCGCGTATGGGAAAGACGAATCACTTGGGACGAATACACATGTATATAAAGTGATTCGTTGTGGTGGAATTTTTTTCCCTGATCTAGTGAACTATTTTCCAAATCCGAAACGTTTCGTCCTATAACGATAAGTCCGAAACTATCTGAAACCCTAATTTGCAAGCACTTTGTAGATCAAATTGGGCGAAACTATTTATTAAACACATGTTGATTGAGTAATTCGACATAGCCTAAACCCGATAATCCTTGTAATACCCGTCTATTATCTTCTTAGGTAGCAACTAGCAGATATTCAAATTCAAAATGAGAACCAAATAAATTATTATAGCATAAAAAGGGGTTTATTGTAAAATCAGTTAGAAACATGTTATGTCGCGAACTTTTCGCTATATGCTATTTATGATATAACGGGCTTTTGCTCGGTCCCAATGTTGAATGTACAGAAGATTCAAATTTATCTTATTAATAGAATTTGACAATTACAACTTAAAAAGCAGTTTATTTTTTAAAATTTATACAGCACTTGTATCTTCTTATTAAATAGAGTTATCTACATTGAAATGCTAATTGCTAATATTATATGACACACGCGTCCATATAGTTTTGACCGGAACATGTTGTCGAATGGGATATTGGTGAATTAATGTGAATTTAGCATCTTTCGGCTAACATTAATCTTACCCCTTTACCCTTACTCTAACAGTATATAGAGATTCGGTACTGTATCGCTACTTATTCGGTCTGGTATGGTATAATCAAATATGATACACTTTTGGAAAAGGGATATACAGTCAAACCTCTATATACCGATGTATCAGTATAGAGAGATAGCGATGTTTTTTTATATTGTGTAACTGTAATAAGTACTCTAAAACACCCTTTTTAAAGCGATATTTTCAAAATATCGTTATATAGAGGTTTGACTGTATATGGAATCAGGTACAGGAGAAAAGGTGATAAAATATTGAAGGATGTGTGTATGCTCTCCACATAATTTAACAAAGTATACACAGATTCGGTGATAAAATATTGAAGGATGTGATGTGTGTATACTCTCCACATAATTTAACAAAGTATACACAGATTCGGTATGTAACCATGACCTGCCTAAGTACCAAAATGTGAGGTGTACAGTACCGAATATCTATATGCATGTTCATCTCCATGGGTATTTTGTTTAAGGATATGCTTAAAGGACATGTCCTTTGAAAAGTCTTATAAGATATTTAAGTGGTGAATATACATAAATCCAATTGATAGTAATGGTAAACTTTTTGTTTAAAGAGTCAAACGATCTTATAGTAAAATAAATAACTCACTTATCAGATTACAAAGACATGTCCATGTTCGTATGGTTTTGTCGAGGAATTGTCCGAACATGTTTAGTGACAATAGTCATAGGAAACCCCTGGTATGTTGTATCGAAGCCAGATTACTACAATTGGCAAAAGATCAATCATGAATCGTTTCGTTCATAAATTAAAATATTATGTAATCTAAACGTATTTCGTAAATATTATTGATAAGTGATCTACTAGTGCGATTCATGCAATTGGCGATATTTTATCCAACTCAATTGTAGGGATTCAGCGACCCTGGAAAAATTCTAACATTTTCACAACACCTCTCAAAACTTTTCTTTCAATCCAAACTCGGCTTCCTTCGTTTGTTTTTATTCTCAAAGGTGGGCAAAAATATAGAAAAAAGCATAAGCTAAGTTATCCTACTAAAACAAAATACACAACTACAACATTTCCGGCTCATTCTTTGCCTTTATTGCCAACTTACTGCACAAAATAAATCAGTGGTTTGAAATTTTGACTTGTCTTTATTAATATGAACTGCCTTCAACATTTATTTCATTTCAGCTTTATTTTCTCCTACTTTAAATCACTTCTCGTATAACTTCGAGCAGCAAAATATATATCGAAAAATCATCGCTGCAGTTATAATCGTTATTGTGTAACAATCACATGTCTTATCACATCAAGGTTGACGAACAATAACGCCAGCAACGAACGTAATGGATATCAGATTACTTGAAGTTTTTCGTTCGATTAAAAACATCATTTCAGATGGTACGTATTATACGCATAACGATTTCTATGAATTCTCCACAAAGATTATTTTCTAATCCTTCGATTGCTGAATAACAGTTGATATAGTCTTACTATTACTACTTATCGGATATAGCATCGTTGTCGTTATAAGCTTAAACGAAATTTTGCAATATTATTTGTCTTTTACAACAATTGTTGAGGACGCAGCAGGTAATTCTTGATCAATTCGATATTTTTCACTTCTCAATCAAACCAAGGTTCACATCTACTTAAATGCTCGTTTATTCGAATTACGTAATAGTTTCATCGGGAACAGATATGCAATCATTATCAAACGAAAAAACACGCGACACGTTTAAAGAATCTTCAGCGGTGATCCCGTCAAACACAGAAGCATCAAATGAGAAGAAATATAACTTAACAAAAGACGCCTCAACTAATATCATGTCAGAAGAAGCAACAACCGAGAAAAGACCGAAAGATCTGGCTGTTACTATTGCATCAAACGCGATTACAGAATCCTCTTCGTCAGATGGAAAAGAGTCTCATTTATCAAAAAACCCTTCCATTGCAAATAACGTTACAAAAGCAACAAAAGTTGACCGAGAAGCATCGGCTGCGTCCGTATCAAATACCAATACGCAATCAATATCAAATCAGACAGAAACACCGGCAGAAGTGTCATTAGATACAGAAACAGATACACCGGCAACCGAAAAAGAAGCTGATTTTCAAAAATCTTCAGTTACAGGCAAAATTGACGTGAATATAC